CACACACACACACACACACACACACAATTGTGTCTCTCCAAAATATGTCTTAGAATCCTCCGCCTGTACTTACGGATGTAATCTCATTTGGGAATAGCGTTTTCTTTGTTCTATTAATGAGGCCATATTAGCATAGGGTGTCTCTTAACCCAATCACTTTAGAGATATAAAAAGAGCAGATTAGGCACAGAAGCAAGGAAGCACAGATAGGGCAAGATAGAAGCCATACTGTATGAAGATCACCAAGAAACCAAGGAACAGAAATGGAAAAGAGACAAGGATCTTGCCCCAGAGTCAAAGAGCAAAAGCCGCCTTGTAGAACTGGAACCCGCAGTTTGGCTTCTAGCCACCTGAACTGTGAGAGAATAAATTTTTGTTCATCAGAGCCTCTGAGTGGTTTAGAATCTCCACTCATTTAGCTAGCAGTTGAGTGCTTAACCATTTACGTTACCCAGGGACTCCTGTATATAGCATAGTATCACTATATATAGATGCAAACTTTTGTGCATTGAAAAGAATTAATATTATTAATGTTATCACTTAACTAGATTACTTGCATATTACTTTTTAGGCCCCAGTTCTCTTATGTTAGGAAGGTAGATTATCCTTTCCTTTCGTTTTGGCCTATCTGGGTGTATAAATTAGAAGGGTGCTTTAATCTTTCAAACAAAGTGAAAGAAAATGAAATATTTAACAGTTTTCAAGGTATTTACATATCTGTCTGGCATACATCTTTATGTAAATTACTGAAGGTCTTAAAAATTTTGACGTTTCTCAGTGATATTTTTGCTTTGAGAATTGTTTTAAAATTGAGGATGTGAAAATAGTGGCAATTTTAATGGCTTACATTAGGATTTCCTTCTTTTCCATATCTTCTGATAATCGTCATGTTTAACATTTCTCACTCCTCACCCAAGTTTATAAGAAGAGGAGTACAAACTTAAACATAAGAGGATGTTAATAGGGCAAAGACTTTCCCATACACATTCCCTATTAATGTTTGTGTGTGTATATATCCTTAAAAGAATTACCATGCGTATGCAAATATATGTATATCTGTATTTACATATCCTTTATACAAATGAGATCACACAATCCCTATCGCTTTACAGCATGCTTTTATTTTTTTTTTAAACTTTCCATATCATTCCTTTTCAGTCTGTGTAGTTTTTCAGTATTTGTATGTAACGTAATTAATTTAGCTAGTCATGTGTTTATAGATATTTAGGTTGTCAGTTTTTTTTGGTATTATGAATTATAACAGTGAATATTCTTGGATATATCTTTGCACATATTTTAAATTATATCTGCAATATAAATTTCTAGGAGGAAAATGGTTGGGTCATAGAATATATGTATATGTAACCTTTTGATGAGCGAACTGCCTAATTCTCAAAAGATTGCCTTAGTATCAGTAGTCTATGAGAATGAGAATCTATTTCACTCTTTGACAATATTAGCTAGTGTCAGACTTTTTAATATTTGTATGTTTAATGTTGTGTTGCTTTGCTTTCATTTCCATTTTTTGGTTATTATTGGTCATATGCATTTTTTTCAGTGATATATTTGATTATGCGCTTTGCAGTTTTCATGGGTTCTTTGTATATTTGTATATTGAGGAAATGAGCCCTGTGCCATTTGTTAGTCACATATTTTTGGCTCAGTCATCTGTCTAAAAATATATCAAATTTTGTTATCTTTTCAAAGAACCAAGGTTTTCTCTGATTTGTAATTTATTAATTTCTTCTTTAGTCTTTATTATTTCCTGTCTTCTGCTTGCTTTAGGGTTCAGCTTGTTTATTTTAAAGTTTCTTAAGGTGAAGGCTTAGGTTATTGTTTTGAGAGTCTTCTAATTTATGTGCTTAAGGCTATAAGTTTTCTTCTGAGTAATTTTGATATGTTCCCAGTAAATTTTGATCTGTTTGTTTTTATTTTCATTTATGTAAAAATATTTTCTAATTCCTCTTTTGGTTTCTTTCTGGCCTGTATGTTATTTAGAAATTTAAGTTTAATTTTCCAGCATTTAGGGATTTTCTAGTTTCTAATATAGTTGTTATTTAAATCTGTTATGGTTGTACAATATACTTTGTATGGCTTCCTTTAATCCTTTCACATTTTTTGAGACTTGTTATATGGCCTAGCATGTGGTTTATCCTGGAAGGAGTTCCCTGTGCATTTTTTGATAGAGTAGTAACTACTCCAGTATGGCTCCATTCTCTCTGTCCTTCTGGGTGGCACAGAAGGTTGGCAGTTGGAACCCACCCAATGGCACTTTGGAAGACTGGCCTGGGGATCTGCTTCTAAAAGGTCATATAGCCTTAAGGCATTTGTTTATTTATGTGTTCATTTAGAGATTCCTTTAGCTATAGAGTCAGGTTGGCTGTAAATTTTTTAAAAATTAAAAAAAAAAATGTGATTTGGGTCAGAGTTTACAGAGCAAATTCATTTTCCATACAGTGTTTCATACCCATTTTCTTTCATGACATTGACTGCAGTTCCCCACAGTGTAACAGGTCTTTTCCTACTTCCTCCCCATAGTAACCTCTTCCCTGTGTCCTTCCCTCCCAGGCACTCCCACCCCCAGAGCTATCTCCATGTGCACACACTACCCTTCTTGTTTGATCACTGTAAGGAGTGTAGCTACCTGATGTAAATGTTCACCCTATATGCCTGTCTATTGTTTGCTCCCAGAGTGAGTGCAATTCCAGACCTGAAGGATGACTAGGGGCCATAGTCTTGGGGGTTTCCCCAGGCTCTGTGAGACCAGTCAGCCTAGTCTTTCTTATGATTTTGAGTTTTGTTCCACATTGTTCTCCCACTCTATCCAGTATCTTCTGTACTCATCCCTTTCTGAGTGGTTGACAGTGGTTAGTTACAATCTTTAAGGAAGCTGCCAGGCCTGGTTTTTCCCCATTACCACTCGGTGGGTTCTAAAGTCATACCCTTGAAAACCTTATGAGTGCAGTTTTGTTATGAACACATGGGATTACTATGAGTTGGAATCGACTTGACAGCAACTGACAACGCAACAACACAGTGAGTGCACCTATACATGTTGTTAACCCAGCAGTATAGTGTTATAATCATTGCTTTATGCATCTTTATATCTTTTAAAGAAGTTAAAAGAAGAAATGAGAAAATATATTTATGGAATCTTTTAGTTTGACTTAGATATTTACCATTTCTTGTGCACTTTATTTCCTCCTTGTATATTTGAGTTACTGTTTGGTTTCATTCTTTCTTTTTTTTTTTTTTTGCCTTGAAGGACTTCCCTTAGTATTTTTTATAAGGCAGGTCAGCTAGCAAAAATTTCTTGCAGTCTTTGTTTATTTGGGAATATCTTCATTATACCTTCCTTTTGAAGGATACTTTTGCTACTTTCTTGGAGGACAGCTTTTTTCTTTTGACCCTTTGAATATGTGATTCTACTGCCTTCTAGCCTCTATTGTTTCTAATTGGAAGTCATCCATTAATTGTATGATGTTTATGCACTGAGTCATTTTTCTCTTGCTGCTTTCAAGAATTTTCTTTTTGTGTTTGCCTTCAGTAGTTTGACCGTGGTGTGTCTAGGTGTGAGTCTCTTTGTATTTCTCCTACTTTAGGTTCATTGAGTTGCTTGGATGTGTAGATTATATTTTTGTTTTTGCTTTATTTTTCAAAAATCAAATGTGGGAAATCAAATGTGGGACATTTTTGCTAGTATTTTATTAACATCTTTTTATCCCTTACCTTTTTTCTCTCTTTTTGGGACTTCAGAAATATTGGCAAGCTGGATGATGTTTCATACGTCTTTAAGGCTCTGCTCATTTTCTTTAAGCTCTTTACTCTCTAGTCCTCAGACTGGATCATTTTATTGATCCACCTTTAAGATCACAGACTCTTTTTTTCTCCCATCTTGAATTTGCTATTCAGACCTTCTAGTAAATTTTTAAATTGCAATTATTATACTCTTCACCTTCAGAATTTTCATTTATTTCTTTAAATAATTTCCATGCCCTTATTGAGACTCGATGTGTTGATTTATTGTTTTCATAATTTCTTTTAATTTTGAAAACTTGGTTTATTGTTTTCATAATTTCTTTTAATTTTGAAAACTTGGTTTCTCTTTTAACATGCACACACATACACACACACATATATATAATAGCTGATTTGAAGTCCTTGTTTACTTAAACCAAGATCTTGGGGCACTTAGAAACATTTTGTGTTGACTACTCCTTTTCTTTTTGTATCTCATAATTCATTGTTGAAAACTGGCATTTTAGGTAATGTATCATAACTACTCAGGATTGTGATACTCATGCAATCTCAAGGTTATTATTGAATACTGTTATTTCATTATGGTTTATGTGTTTAGTGGAGTCCTATTGAAAAAAGTAATAAGTTTAATTTTGTACCGAAGTTTATCTGGAAAATATTCATGCATGAATAGTCTGCCAAATTTTGAAATGCAAAGGTACTGAAGGGAGACTAGCTTTATTAAAGTTTCAAGTGTTTTAAAGTATGAACATAATGTTGAAATATTTAAAAAATAAAGTATATTTAATATTACATTTTGTGAAGTTCAAAATTATAATTATTACTGGTTTTGCTCTAGACAAGAAAGATTATTCTTACTGCCTTTGCACCATGAGAAACTGATATAAAATCATAGAATATTTCATATGTCATCTTGTCTCCACACTGTGAGGGAGTATATGCAAACTATTTTTGCTAGATAGAAATCTAATTAAATACCTCCAGAGTAGGAAATTCCACAGAGTCTGGTGGTGTAGTGCGTAAGGCATTTGACTGATAATTAGAAGGTTGGTGGTTCTAACCCACCAGCTGTTCTGCAGAAGGACGATGAGGCAATCTACTTCTTTACAGATTGACCACCTTGGAAACCCTAAGGGGGTTGCTATGAGTTGAAAACATCTGTATAGCAGTAGGGTTATTTTGTTCCCCCAGTGCTCAGAAATAACAGTCAAGAAGTTTCCTTGTTGTGGACAGTCTATGTTATTTGATTTTTTGGATCTGGTACATATTTCTATATCATTATTCCCATCTTTGTCTCAGCTTTTCCTGTCAAAGATTACTGATGATGTTTCTGTATCTATATTTAACATTGTTCTGTAACTCTCATCCTTTTTATTGTGAATATACATGCATCCTATATGCCATTATACCTACTATTCACTTACCTACGTACTTTGATTACAAAGACCAAGTTGTTATGTGAAATTGGCATTATATAGGAGTTGGAGACTGCCCCCTGTGTTTGGTGTCAGTGTTGTGGCCCTGCTTGGTCACTTACTGCCCGTCAGGTGCTTTTGGAATGTCTCAGGATGAGTATGGTGTGGTGGGGCCCCCTTTGCCACCACACTTTCCCTACTACCAAAGAGCCCTTGGGTGTTGGGGTTAGTGGTGGCCAGGTGTTGCCCACCACCTGGCATTTCCCAGCACTCACCTTGGATGGGGACTCCACTTGTCTTCTGCCGACCATTTCCCATCACTCACCTTGGGTGGGGACCCTACTCGTCCTCCTTCTTCCTTGGCCCTGCAGCCCCACTGACACCCTTTATTCTTTCCCACTTCTGGCCTCACCCTATCAACCTCCCTTGTATCTTTGTTTCCTTGCCCGGCTTTCACCTATCCTGCCCACAACCTGCCTCATCCTGTGCCCTCTGTGGCTGGACTGAAACATCATGGACAGTCAGGAGAAGGAATCCCGTGACCAGTTGGCTACCTTCCCTCATGTGGCCCAATCATTGCTGAGGCCTCCGGTATATTGTTGGGCTTACCTTGGTCCCACATGAGGCTCAGACCATAGGAGGTGCCATCTGAGAATTTTTTCAAAGTTGTAAACACAAGATAACAGTTAACAAGATCGTTAATAAGGAAGGAGTAGGTGTAGTTCTTTTTGTTATTTTTAAAGACCAGACATTTGTGTAGCTCTTCATTTCATAAATTTTACAAAGCAAGTAAGAATAATGTTTTTAAGTGGTGCTTTAATCTTTGCTTTTATAGTTAACCACTTACCACTGCTGTATTTTCTCAGTTTTAAACCTGAAAGCAAGTCAATGCATTGGTCATTCAAGCATAGCTTAATGTATTCAAAGAGTAATCACTTTAGTATTCACATTTGCTTCACCATATTGTGTTTATGTGGTATTTTTTCTCCCATAAATGTTTTTGTTGTTATTGTTTTTGGACAGGAATTGGATGGCATAAGTGATTAATGTGATATTGCGGGTTTCTGGAGCCTTTGAAAGGTGGAAACTCAACCATGATTTCTTTTTCAACTCTGCAGCATTCCCTTCCTTGAAGTCTTCATTTGTACCTTAGTCTCAGGTAACTTCAATTCTTGTTTTTCATAATCATGAATAAGTAATTTTTTCCCAAATATGAAACTGTTTTTTTGGTTGTTGAACTTCGTATTGAATTTGTAAAGTAATTTCTTTATGTTTTGGTATTCATATCTGGAAGAAACATGAGATTTAATTTTTTTCTTCAGAAAACAATTTTAAGGGAAAATTGATGAGTAATGATACAATTTTAGGTATTAAGAAAATATATATAGTTTATCATGTAATCTTACATGGAATTTAAGTAAGAAGTTATTTTCTTATTTAACCCTTTTCATTAGCAGGTTATTGCATTTTTTACCCCCTCATTCCAGTACATATACACATATATTACATACATTAACTTGTCCAGAATTTCCAGGGAAACACTATTTTCATTCTTGGGAAGGTTAGGCATATTGATCAAATTTAATGGCATTTGCTGTATAATTTTAAAATGTGAAAAGAGTGTACCAGTTACTGTATATCTGAATATATAATTAAGTAATCATTTATATTAGATGTATTAATTGTGACAGAGGCTTAAAAAATAGACTTTTAAAACTATTTACTGGAAAGGTTCAAGTAAACCAGAGATTGTTTGGAGGCTCTAAAATCATAATGACTTGTGCTTGTTTCAGCAGCACATACACTAAAATTGTAACGACCCAGGCTCCTTTGTCTTGCTCTGCCATTCTTAATGCTTGGCTTCTAACTCTGATCCAAGATGGTTACTATCATATCTGACACTAGCCAATAGGAAGAAGGAAAAGGGAGGACATTCTTCTTTCCATTAAGGAAGTTGTGTATACCACTTCCACTCATCCCAATGGCCATAACTTTGTCACATGGCTACAACCAGCTTCAAGGGAGACTGAGAAATGAGTCTTAGCGAGTAACTGTATGTGCAAGGAGAAAACAGATTCTGGGGCTTAGCCAGTTGTCTGTCATGTTAGGATTTGTATTAGATTTACTTTAAAATGTAATTTTTACTGCCGAAAGCATTAACTTTTAGCCTCAGAAGTTAGTTGGAAATTGCGCTTATTTGAGTTGTGGGACTCAAGACATCATGGTGGATTGACTAAACGTTACTAGTCTTATTGTTATAAGATAGGGTGACATGTTAAAAGTTAAAATTGACTTGAGATCATTCAACAGTTTGTTTCACTGACATTAGGTTGAAGTGATTCATCTAAAATTTTAGACTCTAAAGCAAAGTGAGGGGCTGTGGGTGGGAGGGTTTTTTCAGCTATATACAGTAAACTTGCAAAAGCTGGAACCTGTATAGCAAAAACCTGTGAGAGAAAGAAAACACAAAGATATCCCACTAATAGAGGGCATTAGAAAATCGTAAGACTGTACCCTGTTAAATGTGGGAAACTTGTGAGACTCTGGTACACGTGGCAGTCCCGTAGAGGTCTGGCTCTCACAGGCTTCACAATATAAAGGTAAATGATATGTAAAAGGTTCCTTCTGATTCCAAAGAGTCTGTTGATACGACCAGAACACCTTGTTCCCAAAGACATGATATACTTTAAATCATTCTTTTCAGGTGAAAAATATTTTATTGTACATTATATTTAATGGTATTTGTCCTAATGTGAATATTGTGAATAATGTATATTTTGATACAATTATCAAATATTACAAATTTCTGTTATAAAATTTAATGAAAGGTTGGAAATGAGTTGTCAGTTTTCTACCTTATTTTGTGCCAGTATACATTAAACTTGGTACTTTTTTAAAAATGACTTTAGATAGCAATTAGTTTTGATAAATTTGTTCATACTTATATACAGTTTTTGTATTAGGCCTGTTGATTTAAATTTATTGCTAAATGATTATATCACAGTATTAGTTATAATACTAACTCTGCTATCTCAAAGTAGAACATTCCTATGAAACCTTTTGTAAGCTGAGGTGGTGTCAAATGAAGAAGCAATTACCGTTAATTTATATGGGAAAAATTTTTGAGCGTTCCCAAACTCCAACAATTATCTATCAAATCATACTAAATGACACATAAAACATAAAAATAGCACCACCATATAGTGTTCACAGACACAGTTCAAAGCTGTGGTGGCTTGATGCTGAGATGTTGAGTGTAATTCCTGGGGAAGGAGCTTGGTTGATGTCACTCTTGCTACTCAGAGTGTGTGCTACCTTTTTAACAGGCTTACTTCAAAACAAACACTGAATATTCATTTTTACACCCTCCCCCCATGAAAGTGAAAATCCTCTTTGGTTTGCTTTCTGTTAGTGAAAACAGGCACTAATGTTAGTCTTTTGTAAAAGCAAAGCTTTTTGGCATAAAACCAGCTTTCAAACAGCAGAGGGTTACCTGAAAAGTTTTTGGTTGATGGCAATGAAAGCATCTTTATTTCTGTTGTACTTCACAAATAAAGTTTTTACTGTTAAAGTGAGATAGCATTTATTTAATTTGGTAAAAAGACAAACCAGTGTTGATTTATATAGTTAATGCTGCTTTTCTGAAACAAGTCTTGGTTTTTGTGCAGTATATATTGAAAAATAACCACTGTGTTTTTCACATTCATTGATAGTGTACAGAGAAGTTTGTTTTAAGAAGTGTTTCTTATTTTCCTTTTATAATGTAAGATTATGGAAAATTCTGTTTCCTAATAGAACCAGTATTTCAGTTGTTGGCATAAAATGGGATGGATGCAACTGGATTAGCAGAAGGTGGGATTCTGTTGTGCTTGACCCTTTTAATGCTCCTCCTTTAAAAATCAAATTATAGTTGTTTCTTAACAATTTAAGTGGTCATAGTTTGATGATGTAATATTTCTGTATACTACTGTGTTTTTTTTTGTTTTTACCTTGTTTTAGGAGATACTGGTGACAATGTACTTAGGATACACTTAGATTCTGCTTTGTTTGAGGGAGGCTTGAGTGTGGATATAGAATTCCTGTTAACTTTGGCTTTAAAAGTTATAAACTATTTTTCTGTGGTTAAAAACTCACAGTTTCTTTTTGTCATACTGTATAAAATGATTGATATTAACTGGCCTGTAAATTTTCTAATAATTATATTTTTAGTTATTAAAATTAGGTATCTTTATTATTTGAGCATCTTTTATTTTTGCTAGCACTAATCAGATGCCTTTATTGTAAATGATAGTCCTATTTGTATGTTTAGAAACAGCAGCACTTTTAACGAATGAACCTGGCAGCATACTGCAACAGCACTTTTAGAGTCAACAACAGACACAGTTTACATGATATGTTTTATAGATGCAAAATAGTTGTTATGCAAAGATATATTTGAAGGAGACTCTAAATGTGGAATGTGCCTAGATAAGAAGTAGATTTTGTTGAAATTAGCTATGAGGTAGTTCTTGGTTACATCAAGATGATATTTTTGAAGGGTGAGAGAGAATAAGAAGCAGTATAACTTTTTAGAAATAATAAATAACAAGTTTGTTAAAGATTGTTAATATTGATCACGGATTTGTTCACTTCATCTAACCAAATGATTCTGAGACTGATATTTATACTTCTGTTGCTGATATTTTTAAGTTGTATGACTTATACTGAAGTTATCCAAATTAATCTAACTGGCATCCTCTGAAACCAAACCATACCCACTGCCATCAAGTTGATTCCGACACATAGTGACCCTGTAGGAAAAAGAACTGCCCCATAGAGTGTCCAAGGCTTTACGGAAGCAGATTGCCTCATCTTTCTCCTGTGGAGCAGCAGTGGGTTTGAACTGCTGACCTTTTGGTTAGCAGCCCAATGCTTTAACCATAGTGCCACCAGACCTCATTGGCATCCTTCAGACAACAAGGAGTTTCTTGAATATACTTTGGATCAGAAGTAATTTATAGCTTTTTTTTCCCCACCTGTTTTCAGAACAGGTTCCTTTGAGTGCCCAAGTTTTATTTTGTTGAAACTCAATAAAAAAAGGTATCTTTAAATGAGAAATATTTGTTTGATTTTTTTGATAGTAGGTTTAATCAAAGATAAAATGGTAGATGGATATTTGCGTTCTTGGGGAAATAGGTATCTTTTTAAGAGTTTTAGAGTGTTATGTCACAAGCCTTCAAATTTCTTTTTATTTTAAAACATACCACCTTCTTTCCCTTGATACAGATGTATCTCTAGTACTGCTTTTACATTTGTCAGCCATATTTAGAATTATTGTTATTTCCAAGTTTTAATGGGAAAGCAAAGGAAAAAGAGGAGAGAAATTTTCCTGAAGTAACTGGTAAGGGTTTGAGGAAAGAATGGTGGAAGAAAGATAGTTTAAGTGTGTGGGTATAAACCTATAAAAAAAGAAGAAGGGTTGGGTTGAAATTCACTGAGCTGTGAATAATAGAGGGAAGTGGAAAAATTGAGGATGTAGAAAGTGTCCATGGCTCCTAAAGGTAAAAAAGGTATTCTGAGTCAGAAAGTTCTCCCATGGTAGCCATTAGATAGAATAACCAAGGAAAATTTGAGTGCTTTACTGAGCCAAGCAGTGGTGATAGGATGGCTTCAGAGTAGTAGATGGTAAGAAGGGAAATGAGTCTGATGAGTTCTTAATATGTCTAGGACCTTGTCAAGGTGAGCAATGGCATGGTGTGGTATAAAGTGCATTGAGCCAGGTAAGTCTGAGTTGAATTTCAAGTTTACTTCTTAGTTGTGTGCGTTGGTAAGCCCCAGCTCCCTCATCTGTGAAATGGGAATATACTGTTACTGCCTTGAAACGTTGTTGTAAATATTAAGTGAGATAACGTATAACGTATGTGCCTAGTTTAACACACATTAGTTATCGTTCCTTTTCAGGTTTTCATAACCTCTGAACTTTATAATACAGACATAATAAAATTTAGAAAGACATTTTCCTCATTAATGGCATAGAATTCTCATTAAAAACTGAGTAAGTATTTAAGTACCTTGTATAGTTGATTAAAAGTGAGTAATAATGCCTAACTTGTCCATATGTTATGCTTCTGTTAACTTTGTCCTCTGAAAACAAGCCCAACAGTCCCCTGAGCTTAGGAA